GTTTCTGTTTTACGCTCACTTGGCAGGACGGTAGTACCTCCTTGGGCGGTTGCCGTCTACCAACCTACTACCTACAGATTTGTTGTATTTGTGTCTAAAATTTGAGGCTACTGTCAAGGTGGATTCCTAGGAATTTTCCCTCTGTGACTCTTGTGACAGGTGATCCATTTATCATTATGTTAAGTGGAACATTTGTAGCTCTTTGCAAATTGAATGAAATAGGTTTTGTCAGTAGTATTGAGATTAAGCTTGTTAGTCATCATCCAGGTAGATATTTTCTGTAATTCAGCATTTGCAGTGTTGGCTAGTATGACTGGGCTTGGGCGAGAGAAGATGTATGTAGTGTTGTCTGCAAATAATGTGGGTTTGAGTAGTTGAGATGCATTTGGTAAGTCATTGATGTAAATGAAAAAGAGAAGTGGGCCAAGGACACTTCCCTGCGGGATGCCGACTGTAATTGGTTGTGTGGAAGAGTTAGCTTCATATGTGTGCACATATTGGCTTCTGTTGTGAAGGTATGACTTTAGGTAGTTGAGGGCGTGGGTAAAGGAGGTTTTGTGTGCAAGGGGCTTGGACTTTCAGCAAGCATGCATGAGTGTGTTAGCCCTTAAATGGTCCATATGTATATACATGTATACGTTCTTACCGCTAGCACCGCAAACATATACATGTACGTATTTTTATTTTTTTTTTTTATTAACACACTGGCCGATTCCCACCAAGGCAGGATGGCCCGAAAAAGAAAAACTTTCACCATCATTCACTCTATCACTGTCCTGCAGAAGGGTGCTTTACACTACAGTTTTTAAACTGCAACAGTAACACCCCTCCTTCATGTACGTATATACATTTTAATTTTCCTGCCTCCAAATTTGGCATAATTGGCCTGAGATGCCTGGTTAGCATAGAATGGGTCTTAACACTTGGTGTGCACCATATTAAAAAAATCTGGGACCACTTAGTAACTTTCAGGAGCGCCAGTTAAATTGAGTGCCAGCTCGAGCAAACAGTGCAGCAAACACCAAGGATTCACTGATGTAATGTCATATTAACACTCCCCCTTTAAGAGGAAAGTGATGTTAACCCCAAGTTTCGGGTCTGTCTATCTCTCTGTCTGTCTCTCTCTCTCTCTATCTCTGTCTATCTCTCTGTCTATCTGTCTCTGTCTGTCTCTATCTCTTTTTATCTGTCTCACAGGTACACACAAATACAATTATACTTCTTCCTTCTTCCTTCTCTTCCTCCTCCTCCCTTCTTCTTCTTCTATACTCCCATGTATCCAAAACTTTGCTAGGACCTATAAATACTTGTATATGTTCTTAGACAATAGTAAATGACCAAGGCAGGTGTAAATATCCACCTGTCAATGTGTTTGTGACAATTTGAGTACAATTTCAGTACCTAATATTAGTGTCAGAACAAAAATTGGTTATGAAATGCCAAGAACTAAAATAAATTGTAATTATCAGAACATAAAAATTATATAAAATAATATAGAAATGAGAAAAAATGATATATCGGCAACACTTCCTCAAGGGGCGGGACTTGATGTTGCCGTCAGGTGAGCATTAAGTGCCAACTTTGCAGCCTCATATTTCAGTAAGTACTTACCCTATTTTTTTTATTTTAATCCTATAACACTCAGAAATTTTTTCTTTTTATTTCAATGAAAAAAAAAACAACGATTTTTTTATTCTTCAAAATATTCGGGGCACTAGGGGAAAGAACGTACATATACGTTTGGGCCATTTAGGGGTTAGATAGGAGCAAATGGAGACAAATGGTTTTTAGGACTTGATGTGCTGTTGGATTCAGGGAAACCAGCAGGCCAGACTTAGAGTCCTGGAGATGGGAAGTACAGTGCCTGCACTCTCAGCGAGGTTTGTTAATGTTGCAATTTTATAACTGTAGTGTAAGCTCATCTCTGGCAAGACAGGGATGGAGTGTACGATGGTGAAAGTTTTTCGTTTTTTGGCCACCTTATTTTGGTGGGAAACGGCCAATGCGATAATAAAAAAAAAATGAAATTGAATTATTTGCTATACTCCTTGCACTCAAGTGTATTCATGCATCAGAAGTGGGACATACTCATGTCAGATATCAGATAGAGATATGGTGAAATTGTTGATGGAGAGAGTAGATTACAGCTCTGGGGCGTCAAATAGTAGTTCAAGGCTAGTGATACCAAAAGAACTTCAGATAAATTCCATTGATTTGAGTCAGGAGGAGAGTGACAGCAGTCAGTCCATCTAATCATTCTATCATGGAGGAAAAACCACATGTTTATGATGCATTCCACAATATTAGCAGACTCTTGGATGTAACAGATGCCACTCCTGCTTGGCTTTGGCTGTGCTACCTGGAGTTTACCTGGAGAGAGTTCCGGGGGTCAACGCCCCCGCGGCCCGGTCTGTGACCAGGCCTCCTGGTGGATCAGCGCCTGATCAACCAGGCTGTTGCTGCTGGCTGCACGCAAACCAACGTACGAGCCACAGCCCGGCTGATCAGGAACTGACTTTAGGTGCTTGTCCAGTGCCAGCTTGAAGACTGCCAGGGGTCTGTTGGTAATCCCCCTTATGTGTGCTGGGAGGCAGTTGAACAGTCTCGGGCCCCTGACACTTATTGTATGGTCTCTTAACGTGCTAGTGACACCCCTGCTTTTCATTGGGGGGATGTTGCATCGTCTGCCAAGTCTTTTGCTTTCGTAGTGAGTGATTTTCGTGTGCAAGTTCGGTACTAGTCCCTCTAGGATTTTCCAGGTGTATATAATCATGTATCTCTCCCTCCTGCGTTCCAGGGAATACAGGTTTAGAAACCTCAAGCGCTCCCAGTAATTGAGGTGTTTTATCTCCGTTATGCGCGCCGTGAAAGTTCTCTGTACATTTTCTAGGTCGGCAATTTCACCTGCCTTGAAAGGTGCTGTTAGAGTGCAGCAATATTCCAGCCTAGATAGAACAAGTGACCTGAAGAGTGTCATCATGGGCTTGGCCTCCCTAGTTTTGAAGGTTCTCATTATCCATCCTGTCATTTTTCTAGCAGATGCGATTGATACAATGTTATGGTCCTTGAAGGTGAGATCCTCCGACATAATCACTCCCAGGTCTTTGACGTTGGTGTTTCGCTCTATTTCGTGGCCAGAATTTGTTTTGTACTCTGATGAAGATTTAATTTCCTCATGTTTACCATATCTGAGTAATTGAAATTTCTCATCGTTGAACTTCATATTGTTTTCTGCAGCCCACTGAAAGATTTGGTTGATGTCCGCCTGGAGCCTTGCAGTGTCTGCAATGGAAGACACTGTCATGCAGATTCGGGTGTCATCTGCAAAGGAAGACACGGTGCTGTGGCTGACATCCTTGTCTATGTCGGATATGAGGATGAGGAACAAGATGGGAGCTCGTACTGTGCCTTGTGGAACAGAGCTTTTCACCGTAGCTGCCTCGGACTTTACTCTGTTGACGACTACTCTCTGTGTTCTGTTAGTGAGGAAATTATAGATCCATCGACCGACTTTTCCTGTTATTCCTTTAGCGCGCATTTTGTGCGCTATTACGCCATGGTCACACTTGTCGAAGGCTTTTGCAAAGTCTGTATATATTACATCTGCATTCTTTTTGTCTTCTAGTGCATTTAGGACCTTGTCGTAATGATCCAGTAGCTGAGACAGACAGGAGCGACCTGTTCTAAACCCAAGATGCCCTGGGTTGTGTAACTGATGGGTTTCTAGATGGGTGGTGATCTTGCTTCTTAGGACCCTTTCAAAGATTTTTATGATATGGGATGTTAGTGCTATTGGTCTGTAGTTCTTTGCTGTTGCTTTACTGCCCCCTTTGTGGAGTGGGGCTATGTCTGTTGTTTTTAGTAACTGAGGGACGACCCCCGTGTCCATGCTCCCTCTCCATAGGATGGAAAAGGCTCGTGATAGGGGCTTTTGCAGTTCTTGATGAACACAGAGTTCCATGAGTCTGGCCCTGGGGCAGAGTGCATGGGCATGTCATTTATCACCTGTTCGAAGTCATTTGGCGTCAGGATAACATCGGATAGGCTTGTGTTAATCAAATTTTGTGGCTCTCTCATAAAAAATTCATTTTGATCTTCGACTCTCAGTCTGGTTAGCGGCTTGCTAAAAACTGAGTCATATTGGGACTTGAGTAGCTCACTCATTTCCTTGCTGTCATCTGTGTAGGACCCATCTTGTTTAAGTAGGGGCCCAATACTGGGCGTTGTTCTCGATTTTGATTTGGCATAGGAGAAGAAATACTTTGGGTTTCTTTCGATTTCATTTATAGCTTTTAGTTCTTCCCGCGATTCCTGACTCCTAAAGGATTCTTTTAGCTTAAGTTCGATGCTTGCTATTTCTCTGACCAGTAAATTCAAAATAGAAAGCAAGAGTAATATCAGAAGGGCCTGGAGATGTGACTGATGAACAAAGAAAATGTTATTTTAGAGCCAGGAATGTCTGCATTGTTTATTCTGGACCTTATTTTGAAATTGTCATATTTTTTTAATTTTTGTGAAATTGGCCAAATTGCAAATTTCTGACCACGTTATTGGGTAGTTGAAATCGGGAAATGGGCACTTTCTTGTACTCAATCGATAGAAAAAATGGAGTTCTAAAGAAATAGCTATGAGTTTGGTCGACTGGAAAAATGGAATGAGCCGAAAATAGGGCTCAAAGTGGGTGAAATCGCCCATTTGTAAATATAGCCGAGGTCACTAACTTCGCGAGTGTTATTCCGTCAGTTTTCCATCAAATTTCATTCTTTTGGTGTCATTACAATCGGGAAAAGATTCTCTATCATTTCATAAGAAAAAAATCTTTTTTTTTTTTTTTAAATTTTGTGACACCAGGAGACACCTCAGGATTGGGGGTTGCAACAGTCAAGGGGTTAATATGAATTTTATATTCATTATTTTCTAATCAACAGAAACTTGCTAAAGCCTTTCTGAACAAATTGGCCTTTCTTGCAACTCTTAAATTAGTGTTTTGCTTTTTACAGGTGCTGATAACATGTGTGGTATGTGTGTAGGAGGCAATACACGAAAGACTGTTAAATTGGATTGTGCTGGTGAGTGTGGGGAAAAGAACATCTTAAAGGAGGTGGGAAGTTCTCTTGTGTGTGTGCCAAAGGACCAGCCAAATGTCACCCTCTGTGATGGCACCATAAAATCTACAGCCAACATTAACCAGTGAGTGTCATTGTTGTCTATTTGAAAATTTTTAAAAAGAAAGTTGTAAACATTAAGTGCAAAAACACAGTTCCATACTTTTTACAAACTTAGAAAAATCTACACTCCTGTCTAATCCTCAAAATTTGCTAAAAATAACATAGTTAACGTTAATGTTGCAGTTTAAAAACTGTAGTGTAAAGCACCCTTCTGGCAAGACAGTGATGGAGTGAATGATGGTGAAAGTTTTTCTTTTTCGGGCCACCCTGCCTTGGTGGGAATCGGCCGGTGTGATAATAAAATAAAATAAAAATAATAATAATAATAATAATAATGATGATGATAGTGATGATAATCTTTATTCCTACTAGTACATGTAATGACTAATACAGACCCTGCTGTCATCATTGGCATACTATAAAGAAAGCCTTTGGTTATGCAGGCAACACTTGGCTAACACCCAGGTACCTACTTACTACTAAGTAAATGGGCAGCAGGTGTAAGGAAACATGTCACTGTTTTACCCATGCTGGAGATTGATCTCAGACCATTAATTCCAATGCAATTTTCAGCATTAGTCTCATAAGAGCAAGAGTTTTAACATTGCCCCTCTCATGAATGATGCCTCATGCTGCCATTTATTCTGTGCTTGCCAGTTGTGCCAGTCATAGTTGTTTCAAAGGAGTCTAATCTAGGTTAAGATTTTGCCCAAAATGTATTGCATATTACCTGGAGTTTACCTGGAGAGTGGCTTTCTTTTGTGCCTTCTGATGTTTTATTGCACATAATCTACATTATTTTTGTACCACATAAAGAAATAAAAATTTGTACAGTAGGACCCCTGTATCTGCAGGGGGATACGTTCCAAGGACCTGCCATGGATATCGAAATCGTGAATAGTAGCAAACCCTATAATAAGTCCTATACATACCTACTATAAAGTTTAATTGATAAATTATGCACAGTAAGTAGAGAATTATCACTTTCACTAATGGGAAGCACTTCATGGCTTCTCTTAGGCTTTGAAGAACTGCCAGCTTCTTTACTTTTGTGCTTTAAGGCCATTATTATGCAAAATTAAGAGGTATTTTTGGGCCTTAGTAAACCATGGATAACTGAAACTGCGGATACAGGGGTTCTGTATTTTTGTATTTTAACTGGGGGCGGTAAGTTAGGATTTTGTAAGTACGTGAATATGTTATGCATGTTTTGCATGAAACAGAATGATTGCCAGTAATTAGGTTAGGCTTTTACAGCACTATAAAAGGTGATGACTTTGCCATCAAGAACTGTACAAAACCTGCATCATCAGCTCTTACTTAAATCAAATCCAAATTCAAAATCAAAACTTTATTTCTTTGCTAAGGTTACAATGTGTGTTTACATTTTGTAATTTGATTGGTACAAAGAAAGCCACTTTCATGCTGAGGCATTTCAGGCATACTTAATCTAGTATGAAAAACAGTACAGAATGGATCTAATAAGAGGATCTGGCAAAATGTTACTCATCAATACTAACTAATCTAATAAGGAGGCCAAAAAAAACTGTATTATGAAAATAGATTTCATGACATAAAAGGTGATATGAAAAAGACCTGGAAAACCTTATCTGAAATTCTAGGATCTAAAAAGCTGCCTCAAAACAGAGTAATTAACTTAATGAAACTTGTAGAACCTCTCCTCCAGCCAACAGATACTGCCAACAAACTTAATCTTTTTCTCAATTGTAGAAACAAAGCTAGCAAGCAAAATCCCAAACTCAAGCATTCAACTAAGAGATTACCTTACTGGTAACTACCTAAATACTCTACTTCTAGCCCCAACAAACCCTACTGAAATCTCGCTCATCATCAAAACACTAAAGAACAAGACAGGGGACCTAAATAACTTACCATCACTCATGTATAAAAAAGCTTCTCATGTGTTGTCACCAGTTATTGCAGCTTTTTTTTAACAAATCCATTGAATCTTCCTCTTTCCCATCCACACTCAAAACAGCAAGGGTCACCCCAATCCTCAAAGGCCTGTATCAAAGGCCTATATCAAACTTGCCCCTACTATCTAAAATCTTCGAGAAATTAATTTTCAAACAAGTCTACTTCTACTTAGAATCCCACAACATACATAACCCCTGTCAGTTTAGATTTAGACCGAAAAAAAAGTACTAACAATGCATTTGTGCATGTGCTTGAACTACTATATTTGGCACTCAAAAAAAAAAAAAATTCCCCTGGGACTTTTGATAGACCTATGAAAAGCTTTTGATACAGTTGACCATGACCTATTGCACCTAAAACTTGAACATTATGTGGTCAGAGGACACTCTCTTGATTATTTAAAATCTTGTCTTAGCAGTAGAAACCAGTATGCATACACAAATGGAGCTAACTCCACTACACAACCTGTTCTTGTTGGAGTCCCACAGGGTAGTGTCCTAGGCCCACTTCTTTCTCATTTACATCAGTGACCTCCCAAATGCATCTAAACTCCTTAAACCCATTTTATTTGCAGATGACACTACTTATGTCTTCTTTCACCCAAACCCAACCATACTAACAGACACTGTAAATGACGAACTAATAAAAATATCTACTTGGATGACTACCAACAAACTTACTCTCAATATAGACAAAACCTACTTCATGCTGTTTGGAAACAGAGCTTCAGATGTACAACTAAACATATTGATAAATGGTTCACCTATTTCAAGACAAACACAGGGCAAATTTCTAGGTCTCCACCTTGACTGCAGTCTCAAATTCCAGACCCACATACAGCAAATATCCAAGAAAGTCTCCAAAACAGTAGGCATCCTTTCAAAGATACAGTACTATGTACCCCAAATGGCTCTTCTTGCTCTTTACAAATCTTTCACTTACCCTGATCTCACTTGTGGTATTTGTGCATGGGGCTCAACCACAGCAAATCACCTTAAACCTTTAATAACCCAACAAAAAGCTGCAGTGCAACTGATTACCAACTCCTGCACTTGACAGCACATTCCACCACTTTTCAAGAGCCTTAACTTGCTTAATATACAAAACATCCACACTTATTAATGTGCATGCTACACACAAAATATTATATATGTATTCAAATATTAACCCTCCTCTCAAATTACTCCTTGATAACTACAACAGAACACACAGGCATAATACAAGGCACAAATCACTCTTTGATATCCCTTGTGTCCATCTCTCCCTATGCAAAAATACTATGTGCATAAAGGACCTAAAGATCTGGAATTCATTGCCAGAACACATTAAAGGGCCCCTACCTGCAAATCAGTTTAAGGCCCTACTTAGAAATCACCTCATAACCCAAAATTAACCAGACAAACACTTTACTTAATACCTATCAGTTTCTCAAAAGTTACTAAAAAAAAAACTTTTAAATAATTTAAGACTGCTCAACTATTTGATCATTTACTTCAAACTTAAGATTGTTTCATTTCACTATTGTATACATGTATTGTGCTTGATGATTGCTCAACCATTTACTCATTACTTTAAATTTATAAATGTTTCAGTTTCATGTTTTAAATTGTGCTAACTTGTAATGCTGTATTTTTTATAAACTACATATATCAAAACTGTAATTATTTTCTACTGAACTCACTAAAGCTATATAGCATGAAATAGTTGAATATTCAATTATCTTGTATTCATTGTAGCTCACCTAATGACCATATGTAAAATTACTGCACTTAGTTAGTCTTAAGTATGCCCGAAATGCTCTGCATATAAAGGTACTTTTGGCATGTTCACCAAATTGTTACACTCCTTTGTACAAACCTGTGTCATGCTAAAATAAACTTGTTATTTTTATACTTACGTCTAGACAGGTGAAGAGTGGTAAATCACAAATATTCAATATTTTACTGTATCATTAATATGAGGTAGTACAATTTGTGATACAAACATACATTTTTAAGTTTGTAATAATTGCTTAATAGTTAAGGGATAATAAAATATTTAGGAGAGTTGCTTTAAATTTGGTTAGTTTTTTTTCTTTCTCTCTCAATATTTCTGAAACAGATGGCAGATAGGGAAATTTTAGAATCTTCTGGTAAGGAGTTCTGTGTCTTTGGACCTTTCATTGATCCATCTCCCAACATGTCCACCCCCAGATATATGAATACTTTCATATCCTCCATGTTTCCTCTCTCCAATCTGCTGCCATAATTTTCACTTCCTATACTTGTTATTTCCCTCATCACTTTGTATTTTTTCTATATTCACTTTTAATTTCCTTCTTTTACATTTCCTCCCAAATTCCTTCTTTAGTTTATACAAGCTTAATCTTCAACATCTAGGTGTGGAATATGTGTAGAAGGTGATACTGGGCTGAAGAAAGATTCTGGAATGGACCAATGTAATGTTTGTTTTGGCCCAAACGATTGTGTAGCATGTGACGGTGTGGTCAACTCTACTGTTAAGACAAACGTCTGTGGTGCCTGCCTCTTTCCCAATGATCCCAGATGGAAAAGTAAGTGCAAATCAAGGACTATGTTGAAGGTTTAAGATGTAAAGCTGAGTGCAAAATTTATGACTGTGTATTATTTGTAGTGAAATACAGTACAAAATATAGAGCATCATGAAAAAATATTGTCATGGGTGTAACGATCACATTATGGATGGAACAAAGCATAAAATATGGAGAAGAGTAAGAGGTGTTGGGAATGATGTAGTGTATGAAGGAGAAGTACACCTTGGGACAGGAAATAATGTATTGGGCAAGTTAAATACTATATGGTACACAATGTAGAATATGAGACTGCAAATTTTATTTATTAATTTTTTGTTAAGTGCCACACTCGTGCAGGTCATTCAGTGCAAAAGCGTTAGAATGTTAGATAGTGTAGAGCAGTAGTTCCCAAACTTTTGTTGGTTGCTTACAACTTTACATTTTGCATTATCAACCACATACCCTTTTTGTATAGATGTGAAAAATAACTTTCTGAGAAAAACGCATACTGATTGAACAAAATACAGTGGAACCTCAAAAATCGAACTGCTCCCAACACAACGAATTATGTAAGTGTATTTTTGTAAGTGCTTTTATAAGTGTATTTTTGAGGGTCTGAAATGGACTAATCTAATTTACATTTTTCCTGATGGGAATAAATTCATTCGGTAAAGGCACTCGAACAGCCTTCTGGACTGAAGAAAGTTCGATATTTGAGGTTCCACTGTACACCTAAAGTTTAAGAAAATATAACTTTGCTGTTCAAAAATATAGACCTTAGAGAAAAAAAAAAGATAAATTTCTAAAACAAAAGCTTTGTTTATTCATATATAAACTGTTACTGTGAACAACTGTGTGCAACATGACATTAAAGATTCTAACAGAGATTATTTATACTGTATCTTCCATGTTAGGAAAGAAAACATACACAGTTTTGAAATAAATATGCCGATTTAGGAATAACTTGCAAATAGTTAATCAGAACATGAAATATTTGTACTTGTTTTAACTCTTGGGAAATTCATTGTGAAGGATATGCCTTCTTAGTCAAAATAAGGGTTTCAGTTCTGGGTGCTCTTTTTTGACAACCATATGGAGGTTATTCTCCACAAAGCGTAGCATAGCATGAAATTTGGTTTTAAGGGTGCACAAAACAGAAAATCTGTCTCACGTAGGTGCTGATCCACCAGGAGGCCTGGTCACAGACCGGGCCGCGGGGGCGTTGACCCCCGAAACTCTCTCCAGGTAAACTCCAGGTAAACATTGTGGTATTGACACCTAACCAACACATGGGCTATTGATATTTTCATAAGAATGTACCTTGACACACTACATTGTGTTAAGTATACTGTAGCATTAAAATACCTCTTTTATCATAAAAGGTTGTCTCAACATTTAATATCTTTATCATGCACCCCATACCCATCCTGTGGGCGGTAGTCAAAAGATTACAAAGGTACATAATGGGTCCAGTGACTGGATCCCAATGTTATGACAGCTGAACTAGTTACAAAGGTAATGAACTCCAGGTAGATCTGGTCACAATCATGGGAAGTTACAAAGGTAATGAATCAGCCTCACTCCTATACATGGTTACAGTCATGAACAAATTACAAAGTAATAAGCCGCTGATACATCCACACCTGGTCACAATTGTAATGAGTTATAAATACAAATATTAAGTGGGTCATACACCTACACGAGCACATGCGCGCACACACACACATGAGGGCACACGCACAGACATATGCACACGAGCGTACAAATGTATGCATACACACAAGCATCCAACCCCCCACACACACACCCACACACACCCAGACACACACACACCCACACAAATCCACACACACCCACACACACCCACACACACCCACACATGCCCACATGCCCACACACACCCACACACATACACCACACACATACACCCACACACATACACCCACACACATACACCCACACACATACACCAACACATACACCCACACACATACACCCACACACATACACCCACACACATCACCCACACATACACCCACACACATACACCCACACAACACCCCACCACCCACACACCACACACACACACACACACCCACACACACCCACACACACACACACACCCACACACACCCACACACCACACACCCACACACACACACACACACACACACACACACACACACACACACACACACACACACACACACACACACACACACACACACATCCAATGCCCCCACCCACTACATTACAAACTCCACCCCCACAGCAACAACCCTAGTTCCTTACCAGGTCTCCCACTTCCCCAACCCCAATATACCTCCCAGACCATAGTCTTAGAAAGAAGTTGAAGGTGTGGTATACAAATGCAGATGGAATAACAAACAAGTATGAGGAGTGGCACGAAAGAATCAAAGAGAATCCCAGACATAATAGCACTCACAGAAACAAAACTCACCAGAATAATAACAGATTCAATCTTTCCATCCAGATATCAAATCCTCAGGAAAGACAGAGGGAGGAGAGGGGGAGGAGGAGTTGCACTGCTCATTAAAAAACCAGTGGGGTTTTGAGAAAATGGTAGGAATGGATGGCACGGGCGAAAGGGACTACTTAGTAGAAACAATCCAGTCTGAGGGACATAAGGTGATAATTGCAGTAATGTACAACCTACCACAGAACTGCAGGAGGCCAAGAGAAGAATACGATGAGAGCAACAGAGCAATGAGCGACACACTAGCCGAGGTGGCCAGGAGAGCACACATGGGGGGAGCCCCAAAGTTACTTGTTATGGGTGATTTCAATCACAAGGAGATTGACTGACTGGGAAAACCTGGAGCCCCATGGGGGTCCCGAAACATGGAGAGCCAAGATGATGGATGTGGTACTGGAAAACCTCATGCATCAACACGTTAGAGGACACTACCAGAGAGAGAGGAGAGGATGAACCAGCAAGGTTGGACTTGTATTCACATGAGTAGTTCGGACATCGAGGGTATCATGTATGAAGGCCCCTGGGAGCTAGTGATCATGTGGTCCTGTGCTTCGACTACATAGTTGAGCTCCAAGTGGAGAGAGTAGCAGGGAATAGGCTGGAAAAAAAACAAACTACAAAAGGGGGAACTACTCAGGCATGAGGAACTTCCTTCAAGACATTCAGTGGGAGAGGGAAACTGACAGGAAAAACCAGTGCAAGAATGATGGACTATGTAGCAACAAAATGCAAGGAGGCAGAGGAGAGTTTTGTTCCCAAGGGAAACAGAAATAATGGGAAGAACATAACGAGTCCTTGGTTCACCCAAAGGTGTAGGGAGGCAAAAACTAGGTGTACTAGAGAATGGAAAAGGTACAGAAGACAGAGAACTCAGGAAAATAAAGAAATCAGCCGAAGAGCCAGAAACGAATATGCACAGATAAGAAGGGAGGCTCAGAGACAATATGAAAATGACATAGCATCAAAAGTAAAGACTGACCCAAAGCTGTTGTACAGTCACATCAGGAGGAAAACAACAGTCAAGGACCAGGTAATCAGACTGAGGAAGGGTGATGGGGAATTCACAAGAAACGACCGAGAGGTTTGTCAGGAGCTCAACACAAGATTTAACCCTTTGACTGTCGCGGTCGTATATGTACGTCATGGGAGATACCGTGTTTGACGTATCTATACGCATAAATTCTAGCGGCTTCAAATCGAGCGGGAGAGGGCTGGTAGGCCTACACGAGAGAGAATGGGTCTCAGTGGTCGGTGTGCACCCTGTGAAAAAAATCTGGGACTCAGCGGTGCATTGTGGGAACGCCATCTTGGTAGTCCATTTTCACCATGCCTCGCGGTAAGAAGTTCCTCACTCCTCGGCGGATTGGAGGTCTTTTGTTCCCAAGTGATAGCTCAAACAGTGATGATAGTGTCAGTGAAAGTGAATTCCCTGGTTTTGAAACGGGTGTGACCGAGAAAATTACCCAGGATAACATAATTAGTGATGAAAACCCAGATGACCCACAACCATCCACCTCTGGTGCTAGGCCGGCTCGTTCATATTCACCTGTACCAGGACGAAAGAGGAAACTATTTGCCCGTGTACAAGACTCAGATGTGAGCAGTGCAAGTGATAGTGATAGTGATTTCAAGGTTATTGAAAGCACTTCTAGTTGTGACAGTGAGGGTGAATATTCCCCAGTGAAACGGCAGTATGTACGACGTCGCATGCGGTCTGGTAGTGTGCCATATGCTCTTCCAAGAGGAAGGAGTACATCTCGGAGCACATCCCGTGGCCCTACACCCACGTCCTGATAGTGAAGATGACGATATTGTTACGATGGGTATAAATGATGTGAGTGAGGCAGCAGGCGGTGGTGGTGATAGTGACGGTGCATGAGTCATGTGACACCAGCAGCGGGCCACGCTAGTGCCCGCGCTGCTGACTCTGCACAACTACAGCCTGCTTCGGCCGACCCCACACTCTCACAACCACAACCACAACCTGCACAACCACAACGACATTACAATATCCAGAACGCACCAGCTGACCGCATCTGGGATTGGCATCAAGATGACGAGTTTGTTCCCAATCCCCATGACTTTGATGGAGGACAAAGTGGAATACGGCCATCATGTACACTTGGGAACAATCCCACTGAACTGGAATGCTTTCAGTTGTTCTTCGATGAACCCCTGATGGACATTATTGTCAGGGAAAGCAATACATACTATGAGTACACCATGGCAAACACTATGCTTTCACCAAGATCACGCCTACACCAGTGGAAGGACACAACTGTGGCAGAGATGTATCTGTTCTTTGCCACAATAATGCTTATGCCACATGTGTATAAGCATAGTGTCAGCACATACTGGGCGACAGACCGCCTGATTTCAACCCCTGCTTTCAGTGACATTATACCAGTGAATAGATTTGTGTTACTGTTACGTATGTTACACTTTTCAGACAAAACCAGGCCTGACAGAAGCGACAGGTTATATAAGATCAGACGTGTGTTTATGTACCTGAAACAAAAGTGCT